TAATGCGATCTAGTGCCTTCTATTACGATCTAGTGCCTTCTAATGCGATCTAGTGCCTTCTAATGCGATCTAGTGCCTTCTAATGCTATCTAGTGCCTTCTAAAGCGATCTAGTGCATTATAATGTGTTATAATGCATTCTAATAGTTTTTATTGTGTCCTAATGCATTCTCATGGTTTCTGTTGCATTATACGTAATGCAGTGTAGTGTGTTTTAACATGCTCTAATGTGTTCTAATGCATCCTAGTGTGTTTTAATGAGTTCAAAATCATTCAAATGTATTTTAATGAATTATTATGTATTTTGTTGTGTCATAATGTTGAGTTTATTGTGTGAGGTCTGGTTGTTTAAATGTTATGTTGTATTAAAATGTGTAATATTATGTTATACATTAAGCAACACATTATAACACAAATAACAGAACAAAATATTGCATGACAATATAATAGATCATAACACAACACATAATAACATAAAATAACACAGCACATTGTAACACAATATAACAAAACCTAATACATCATCACACTACATAAAACAACAGAAAAATTATGGCAGCATAACATAGCACAACACATTCTAAAACATCATAGCATACCATAACACATAAAACATAATAATACAAAATGTCACAACACAAAGCAATACAACACACATAACAAAAATTATAACGAATCATAACATAGCACAGTATAGCAAAATAACATAACACACCATAAGACGGCACAGTCTAACAACATAACACATATAACATAGCAAAGTATATCAACATAATACATCTTAAGATAGCACAGTATAGCAACATAATATAACACATAACATAGCACAGTATAACAACATAACATACTACATTATAACATAGCACTGTATAACAACATACCACATTATAACATTGCATAGCATAACAACATAACACATTATAACATAGCACAGTATAACAACATGGCACATTATAACAACATAACACATCATAAACTAGCACAGTATAACAACATACCACATTATAACATTGCACAGTATAACAACACAACACATTATAACATTGCACAGTATAACAACATAACATAACACATCATAACACAGCACAGTATAACAACATAACATAACACAGTATAACAACATAACACATTATAACATTGCACAGTATAACAACATAACATAACACATCATAACACAGCACAGTATAACAACATAACACATAATGTGGCACAGTATAACAACATAACACATCATAACATAGCACAGTACAACAACATAGCACAGTATAACAACATAACATATAGGTGAGTGGGTAACGTAAGTTACGTAACCCCCATGTTAGTAAGTCGCGAAAAAAATCGGTTTTCCGATGCCGACCGCCAAAAATGGATTTCAGATTCGTAATCTACACCCCAAAAAACATATAATTAAAAAAAAAAACACCCTTTTTTTGGATGTAGTTAATCTGCAATAATACCGCCTGGCCCTATCGAGACCGGTAAAATCGCGTAATCATCGGCGACTGCCTTGCCTGAAGATGCTTCAACAAGTATAGTTGGACGCATGAATTTTGGTATTTTGTTACAGATAACCTATTAATTGTTAGATTTCGTAGCATTTAAAGTTTTGTTGATCTTCGATCGAGCCCCTTCAGAGATCAGTAGATAAATGTCCGAGCCTCGTCAGATTTGGCGGACTTCGCCCGAGTGAGAGTCTGTCAGAGATTAGTCGAAATTCGTTAGAGCGGAGCCTGAGATAGGTATTCTCTACAGTTCGAGAATCCCGTCGTCCCAAATCATGTCATACAAGCCTTGTATTACGTTTTTCCTGAAACATATTCGAGACATGTTCAGAGTTTTGACTGAACAAGTCAACAAGGTGAGACTTGTCACATGGCAGCATCCGCGCTAGATCCAAATTTTGGCCGAACACAAATTATCCAAAATAGAGATTCCTTATGGTCTTACAATCTCGACATCCCAATTCCCGAATTACGATATTGCAAAAATACCGTCGTCCCAGATCTGTCGCAATGCCACTCTTACACCGTCCCATCATGAATAAAGTTTTAGGCTCTTTTATAATAATTATTACTAGCCAAGTTACAACGAACGACACGTAAGAATATTGACGAGACCAACACTCCTTCTCCTAACTTTCTTGAATTTGAATAAAATAAACTTCACTAACTAATTTGTATTGAGCCGAACGAGAGCTTCCACAATGCATACAGAATGAGAAAGCATACGGAACATTCGCTACTAGTGTAGGTACTTCATTATTATTACGAAGCAATTAATGCGTCGCCTGGTTCAAACTAACTTCAGGGGCACGTTAGACACAAGTTTAATAGTAATCGAAAAATGAAAAGGCACGAGAGTCGAAAGAGGAAGCGAACGGATAATATGACTTAGGCACTCACTAAGCACAAGATTTATAGGCTCGTCGAAATAGCAGTTTAGGCGTCGACGTAACACCGGCAACGAAGAAGACGATATATTACGGTCCGGAAGCCGGAAGACTGTCCTATGCATGGTTGGTCCTATTTTCTTCGAGTTTAAGGTAAATTGAATTTGACACTCAATAAAATGTGGAACCCTGACTTGTACTTTTCAGTCTTTAGAACACTGCTAAACGCAACAAAAAGTAAATAAATATTACGATTTCACTTCTTACCGCAATCTTGGATACAATATTATTAATGTTGCAATTTAAGTTTGCATCGAGGTTCAAATCACTAAATTGTTCCATAAACAATCTAATTGTGAATATTCAGTGGGTGGAATAAAAGTTATTAGTCTTTCTCCGTCTCGACAGTTCACTGAATGTCTGCAACCTGCATTACTAACTAAATTTCAACTTCAACGTTCAACGGCGTACAAGACGTTTCAGTGGCAATAATGGAACTTTTTATTCGACGTTCAATATCGCGCAAGACGTTTCAGTGACAAAAAGAGCAGAAAATCAAAATTTCAGGCTACGTATATAAATTGCGCGCGACAGTTACCTCCATTATTATGATTATGTGATGATGCGTCGTCAGCAATTTAATGAAGATGCGTTGCAAACATAATTTTCATCAAAATTCTTACAAAACTAACTTCGATGAGTGTTTATTTAATACCCCAGTTATTACAGTAGACAATTGCATCGCAACCAAAATTACCGAATTGCAGATCGTACAGCATACATATTTATATTCTCCCTCTCCTCTATCATACCCTGTTTCTTTTATTTCATCAACATATTACTTTCATCTTATACTTTGCACGAACCATCTCTGAACTCTAAATTCTTGTCACAATATCTTGAATCCTGTACCTGATTCCTCTTTTCCCCCATCTTTATGCCAAAAATAATTCTAAAATGAATGCGTGACGCGTGGCAGCTACTAGCCGATACAAAGGCCTGTCGTCTGAAGATCTTTTCAGTGTCACCAAGCTCCAAAATCCAAATCCTTTACCGACCAGACGGAAATCAGAAATTTTAAAAACGATGCAGCCGCTGCCTGTACCTGGTAGCGCAGCCGTGCACCACCAATTCTGTGCACCAATAAGCCCTAAATCGAACACCTTGGATCACTCCGGAGTCCGGACATCCACCAATCAGCCGTGAACCACTCGGCTTTGTCCTCCGGCCTTGCATTGAACCTGCCGCGCACCACCGCAGTTCACCGCATGACCGTATCTAAGGTTAGGTTTCAGATAGCATAGTTCTGTTCCAAAATTTACCGTCCTTCGACAAGTGGCCGTTCGACCAAGGGCTGGTTCAACGTCCGGCCGAGATATGATTGTCAAGAAGTGTTGAAAGCTAGGCCTAGCCTACGTTCCGGAAGGCAGGACAGGAATCATGATGGTCAATTATCAGCCCGTTCAGCCGTGGCAGTGGTGGTCTTCACTCTTCGGCAGGCGACCTATGTACCTCACAGGCTCACGCTCAGTCGCTCACTACCTCATGTTCCGCGCCCCGCGGTTATCTTCGTTAAAGATTCGCGAATATATGAAATCCAATAATTTCAATTCGAATGTGTCGGCAAGATATTCTGAAGGCTTAGCTACATTATGCCACTGATGCCGCGATGCGTCACACGGTCACCAAAGATCTTCATTCTTCAGATAGCTATTCACCCAGTCCCACATTCTGCGCACTGGGCCCTAGGGACTAGTAGGGACTAGGGACTAGGGAGTGGCCCGAGTGGGCCACTCCACTAGGGCTTGTTGAAGCATCTTCAGGCAAGGCAGTCGCCGATGATGCGATTTTACCGGTCTCGATAGGGCCAGGCATTTGTCTCAAGTAACCTAGGTATTTTAATCATTCAAAGTTGATTCCTAATATTTTAAGCGTTCAGTTTCCCACCCAGTTCCTCGACAGTAATCTCCGCTGGTAATTTTCGTGTAAAAAAGCTAGACAAAAAGTAGAAGAAAGTGTTCTCCTAAGCTTCAATGCTCCTTACAAGCAACTTTACTATTCGAATGTGGACTTTTATGCAGCAAACGGTACCACAGTTTGACGTTTTCTTATTGAACTTAACAGCCGCTAATAAACAGCGTCATATTTTACGAGATTTCAGGTTTAATTTATTTGGATGGACGAAAATTAAATTTCCCACGTTCGTTACCGTATTACAATTTTTCTGTGAACTTCTTCCAAATGAATCATAAGTTTCAAAGGATTTTCGAATCGAACCAGTTACAGAGTTGCCACATAGACAAAGAGGTCTTTAAAAATGCGATTCACCTCATAATTTTTAACATAGATGAACTTTTTAGGGAAATTTCTAAATGAGCATAACTCTTAAATTGGAAGTTAGTGCGAAAAATGTATTGAATCTATGGTTCGTCCAGCCTCACACGCACCAGCATACTACGGCGATGCAAGAGACAACGGCTCCATCATGGTACCAATAGTCAATACGGCGTTATTGTTGTGTTACTTGTGTGTTAGTTTCTATTGGCAGGTATTGCGTTGACCTACTTACCGCGATTAGTGGCAGGTCAGATGTCGGCATAAATTGATTGGTGGCTTAATTTTCTTATAATTGAATGGTAGAATTTATATTTCAAGGAACCTGTAAATGTTCTCGGTTTACTACAATTCAACACGTACATGTTTCATATTACGCTTCAACTTATTTTTTTTTAATTGTCATAGCCGCTCTCAAAACTATGGGCATGGTATGATTTGAAAATTCTTCTCATAGGATTTACTTTGCAAGTGTCCGAATGAAAAAAATATAGTTTTGGCTAATTTTTATTTGCTAGGCTATGCCGGAAATACCGCTTTAATTTATCACGTACGGTACTATTTTTCTTCAAACCATAATCTCAGGGACTTGATTGGTAGATGCTTTTACTCAGCGTTCGATATTTCGATATTGCGGAAACCCAAAAGTTTAATAATTTCGCGTCAATAAACATAATTCTGCATCAAGTCCCAAAAATGGATACGTCATCACGTTCTATGGAGACTTTTTACCCAGCTCGCATCGACGCTAAAAGTAAAGCATCACCTGCCGGGGAGGCAGTCGCCGATGATAGCGCCTACCGGTCTAGATCCAGTGAAACCGACTGTTCAGTCTCAACATACGAAAGAAAATCTCGAAAAGAAGGTGGAGATATGGGTGCAAGCATATCTCCGTGCTTTTCAAATCAAGAGAAACTGCAGAAGAATGGAAATAATGTATCTTCTAATCATGATGAACCTGGTCTGCCTAACTTCCGAAGAAGGCGAGCGTCGTCTTTCAACTCGACGATTCACAAAAACGACGAAGGTTGGCTAGTTTGTTGACTTATATCCCCTTGCTTGCATCAACTTGCTGTAACCAATTTGCTTGTTAGCTCATGCTGAAACTGTTCCTCTGTGTTGAAGAAATTTGATCATACTAATGAATACCATAAGAAATTGATGTGATCCTGCTACTAACAGCCGTAAATAAAAAAGTTTTGTATATCGAATTATTAGTTTCGATTATATATCAAGTCTACTACTGTATTTTACTAGCATATTAAAGTTACAAATTTTCAACTGGTTCCATTATTGATCAAATTCGGAATTAAAATACGGTATTCGGAACATTCTGCCGCACACTTCTGAATTGAACCAAACTTGGCGAAATATAAAGCTATTAATAAAAGCTTCTATATATTTCAATTCTAATTGTGTTGGTTAAGTTAGAATTTGAATGGAGTTATGCGTTCCCAGGCAGAGCGGATCATAGATTGTCGCGTCACAAGAGTGTGTCGGCCAGCCGTCTGGGCGGCGATGGAAGACTCACCACTGACTCCGCTGCCTTCTTTGCCAGTAAGAACTAATATGCGTATTTTTGTTGTTGTATATCTGATTTTGTTTTTATTTTAAAGTTCGGGAGAATTTCTGTAAGAATGCACTGATTTTGTTGAATTGATGAGTCAAAGGGATACATCTGCAAAGTGCTCCTTAACCTCTCCTCAGGGAGAATTCTGACGCGTGTCTGTGCGCGTCAGAAGTCCTATGTGATTTCGCGCTCCTATATAGGGGGATTGTTCATGAGCACTCCACCGCTGAGCTCACGGTGTCCGACTGCGTGTCTCAGTTGTGGGGTTAAGTTATTACGTAGGTAGTATTCCTTACATTTCCCTTCTTTGTCTCTCTCGTGCGGGTTACCGACGTCCCGTGTAAGCGACCTCTTGTTCGAGTGTCTTCGTTTCTGTTGTTTTTCACCTGTCCCTCCTTGTCACGTCATCTCTTTGAGATGCTAACGCTGCTTCATTCGAGCCAGCTTCGGCGGGCTGGACATCTGAGACATCCCGCCCCTTGTGGGTGATGATTAACTTGAGACTGAATAATTGAGAGCTTCCGCCTTGCTGCGCGATGTTAACTTTTCACCTTCGGTGCAAAATAGCTTGATCGCTGAAGCGCTAGTAAACCATTCTACAACTTCCTTACTCCTTAACCTTTTCTGTAGTTTGATCATGAATTTCGCAAATAAAAATGTCGAAAAATCTTCCTGAATAATTTTAATGTATCAATGAATGTAACTTTATCAGGCAACAGCCGAGAAATAATGGCGGTTAACGATGCACGTACTAGTGTCTAGTAACCATATCACCCTAGTCAACTAATGTTATCCAGTGGCTGCAACAACTTGCCTCGTGTGTGTGGGGGCTTTGCCCACATTTACCACGTTTGACGTCGGTACACAGACAGAGACGACGTCGTTACGCGGACAGAGACGATGTCGTTACGCAGACAGAGACGATGTCGTTACGCAGACAGAGACGATGTCGTTACGCAGACAGAGACGATGTCGTTACGCAGACAGAGACGATGTCGTTACGCAGACAGAGACGATGTCGTTACGCAGACAGAGACGATGTCGTTACGCAGACAGAGACGATGTCGTTACGCAGACAGAGACGATGTCGTTACGCAGACAGAGACGATGTCGTTACGCAGACAGAGACGATGTCGTTACGCAGACAGAGACGATGTCGTTACGCAGACAGAGACGATGTCGTTACGC